TACTACTACTACTATACTACTATACTACTACTACTATACTACTACTATACTACTACTACTACTACTACTTCTTCTTCTTCCTCCTCCTCTTCTTCTTCTTCTTGTTCCTCCTCTTCTTCTTCTTCTTATTCTTATTCTTATTCTCGTTCCTCTTCTTGTTCTTTTGAGTGTCTTGCACTCAGACAGGTCTTGAAGTTACCATGTGGCTTAGTGTTTAAATTCCTGGTGTTCCTGGAGGTCCTCTTGCCTCTACCTCCTCACAGTGAGCAGTGGCCATTCAGGAAGAACATGAGGGCACACAAAGCTGACCACAGGGCATTGCTCAGTGCCCCTGGGAAGCAGGCGTGTGGTGTGGCCAGTCCTAAGTCCATCCAGAGGGGCTTTCTTTGAAGTGTGCTTTGCAACAGTGAGAATGGATGGGACCTTCTCAAGGCTTCATCTCTAGCCCATCTAATCCCACAGTACTAGCCCAGCTGCTTCCACTGCTACATGGCAATGTGAATGGGAGCAAGGTGATCATCCGAGAATTCCAGGAGCGCTGCCGCCGTGGCTTGCTGAGCCTCCCAAGTCCTACCCTACACCCACAGACACCCAATGCAGAGGATGCCATGGCTGTGCCATCCAAGGCCAGGCTGAAGCGCCTTATCTCCGAGAACTCTGCCTATGAGAAGCGGCCCGACTTCCGTATGTGCTGGTATGTGCACCCACAGGTGCTCAGGAGCTTTGGCCAGGAGTGCCTGCCTGTACCCTGCCAGTGGACCTATGTCACGGCCGTACCCTCAACACCCAGGGAAGACAGTGGCAACATTTCTTCTGAGGGGCCTGGCCAGAGCACACCCATGCCCCTCAAGCGGAAGCCAGCGGCCACCATGTGCATCACACAGTTCATGAAGAAGCGGCGCCATGATGGACAGGTGAGCTGTAGAGGACATGGGCTTTGCTTGCCTGTGCCTAAGTCAGGCTGTGCACCTGTCAACAGTTTGTGACATGTCAGAGCATAGCTTTGTAGACTGGTTCCTCCCATCCTCGTATAGGTTTCTGAGGTAGAACTCGGATTGCCAGGTTTGTGCAGCAATCACCTTTACTCGTTGAGCCATCTGGCTGCCCCTCTATAGTTTTAGAGCCACTGTAGTCCTGAGCAGTCGGCTCACTGCCACATTTCACACCTGATGCTGATGTCACCCAGAAGCCACAGTTGCTGAGGAACTAGGAACTGTTTCCTAGTGACCCAACTGTTGTGATTACCATCAGGGTCATCTAGAGTTGCTTCACTCCCCGCAAGACTGCCCATTTGTTCTCCCATGCCAACAGCCATGAATCTGTCCATGTCTTTGAATGTCATAGTCAGAGAGTGTCACACAACCCCTCAGCCTGCTACTGCTTGGTTCGTCCTTGCTCCGCAGCTCCCTCCTAACTCCTAGTGGCACTGTGTGTCATGGCTGCATTGTCCTAAGCGACACGGCATCAGAGCCCTGTGTGGCCCTGCCACTGAGGCAGTGTCAGCATTTTCCATTGAGATGTCCTTCTGTCGCTGGAAACCCTGCTTACGTGTGTGTGCTGGTGTCTCAGGTCCTCTTCTATAACTTTAGAGGTCTACTTTAGCACACTGGCTCCAAGTGTTGCCTGGTCCTGGCTACCACTGTGGTATCCATAACCCTGCTCAAGACCACAGTGAGGAGCAGTGGGAACACTGGGACCTGGAGTTGTTGCTGGGACTGTCCCCTGTGGCTCCTAGTATCACTGTCACTAATGGCATAGCAGCCCTAAACGTGGGATGTGGCTTATCATGGCGATGTGCCTAGAGCATTGTACTCTAGCACCCTAATGCCCTTGCTGTCCTCCCCACAAGGATCTTTGCTGTACCCCATGTGAGCAGGGAACGAGGCTCAAAGGCATAGTTTGTTGTCAGCCTTAGCCCTGAGGAGCCCCATGAGCATTGCAGAGCACAGCTGTGGCCTTTTTGCATTTTGTGGCTGAAGGTGCTGCCTCCAGAAAGCACAGGCCGAGCATGGTACTCACTCCTGGAGCTGCCTGGGTGTGGTTCTCTGCAGCATTCTGTCAGACCTACTAGTTCTGTTTACGAGGTGCCAGTGCTTGGTCCAGCCTTTCTAAGCATCTGCCCAATTGGGGAGGGCCAGCTGTGTTCAGCGTTCTGGATTCATTTAAAGGGCAAGTAGTTCAGTCTTTAGTTGGAAATCGTGGTCACCCCAGATGCACTGTGCATCATTGGCTGAAAGGTGCCCCAGTCTTTGAGCCATATTTTAAGGATTTACTCTGTTTTTATGGGTGTGTGCGAATGTGAGCACAGTGCCCATGGAGTCTAAGAAAGCATCAGATCCTCTGCAGCTAGAGTAAAAAGCAGTTGTGAACTGCCATGTGGGTGCTGGGTATAATTCAGGTCCTCTGCTAGGACTCCCAGGATTCTTAACCAGTGAGCTGCCTAGGTTGGCCTCAACTCTTGATCTTCCTGCCTTAACCTTCATGCCAACATACATGGATCTAGGCAAATGCTTATATAAGAGGCAGTCAAACTGGAAGAGCACTTGCCTTCCCCCATCAAAGGCCACGAGGTTGTCTCCGTACTACGTGGGTGTCACCCTGGCTGCATCTGTCTCCTCCCCAGAAGCCCATGAACTGATTGAACTGGGGATCCCAGCAGCAGTTCAGCTGCAAGAGCCACTGAGTCTTAACCACTGGGAGAAAGCAATGCCAAGAAAGTGTGTGTTCAGTCGATTCTTGCTCAGGTTGCTGTGGGGTGCTGCAGTTGGCATTTTTGAGATAGGAACATGGCTAAATCTTAGCACGGGCTTTGCAGCCATCGGCCCTAGTGTTACCAGAAATTATCGTCCAGGACAGTGTATGTTTTGGGGGGGTTGCATGCTCAACGTGCTGTGTTCTGTGCAGGCTGGCTCTGGAGACATGGATGGCTTCCAGGCAGACACAGAAGAGGATGAGGACGATACAGACTGTATGATCATAGATGTGCCAGATGTTGTGGATGACGTCTCAGAAGTTCCCATACCCACACCCACGCTTTGCAAATGACAGGTCTCAAGTTGAAAGACCTAGGGACTCTGGGGAAAGCGACCTGAGCGGCAGGGAGTGGAATAAGGGTACATGAAGTGCAAGGCTGGTAGCAAGCATGGTCTGGTCAGTAGAGGCCACACCTCCTCTCAGCCTTATAGAGCTGCTGAGGGAGATAGGAATGGGCACTGGCAGCAGCCTGCAGCACCCGATTGGTGACCAGGAGCCTTGAGCCTCCTGCTGACTCCTGTATAAGAGCACTTTGTCCTACACCCCGGGGTCTGGAGTCTAGAGGAGGCCTGAACAGTTACTTCCAAATTGTAAAGACCCCGGGGCTGCGTGCTAATCTACCCTTATTAGTTAAGCATTATCGACAGCTGATTGACAGTGCCTGCTTGGGCCCTGGTCACAGTGCCTGCTGTGGCCAAATGCCTGCTATGAATTGTGCCTGGTATGCTGTTGTGTGCAGGCCCTGGGCAAATGTGGACATGTATAAATATACTCTACCTGAGCCCTGTCTGTCTTCTGTCACATTATCACATTACACTGATGCATGTCCTTTCATCGGTCCCTGCAAAGGTCCTGGGTCCAGACTAAGCTTGCTGAGGGTACCCCCAGCAAGATGGATGTATCTCAGGGAAAAGACAGGGCCAGGCTGACCTCCAAGGGAGGTTCAGAGGCTGACTACAGCCTGTTCCACCACCACCACCACCACCACCACCGGGTTCCACCAAGGGCCTCAGAATGATGCTAAGACTAGACCTGGTTGGCTGTAGGACAGAACAGACCCTGCAGGAACAATATTCCCACTGCCAGCCCTTTGTGAGCACATCGGCCCGGACACAGCAACAAGGTGCCATGGTTACGCTGAAGCACCAGGAGGCTGGGTTTAAATAGCTTGTTTATTTGGGTTATAACTTAGGAATTACAGCTCCATGTGCCAGGCCCCTGCCCTTCCTGCTATCTCCAGCCCAGGCATGGGGCAAGCTGCTCCATCCACAGCCTGTGGGGCCTGTGCCTGTGCTACAGACCCACTCTTGCCACAGAGAGGCCCATCCCACTGTGCTGCGCTCCAAGATGGCACCAGAGGGCTGAGGCTCCACACTCCTCAGGTCTGTCCCCTGCAGCCTACAGAGAATTAGCTCCCAAAATGGGACCTTGTTTCCAACACTAGTGTCCCTCCTGTTGCTGGGGGCTCAGAAGGAAAGGAATGGGTTTGGGAACAGCACGAGGCAGCACCACCCCAGGCCAAGCCAGCTTTTATTCAGGAGAGTTGCTCGATGGTTGCAAGCAGCTCAGGCCTCAAGACACATGTGGCTGGCTCAGTCCCTGCAGCCCTCATGTCCTCCAATACCGAAGCATCCCAGGAAAAGGTCAGCAGGGCGGAAGGTACCTGTAGGGCAGGCAGAGTGTCACATGGGCTATGACACTTCCTATGATGTACAGATGGCGTGTCCCCATAACACCACTATACAAATCCCTTCAGCTCTAGAGGTTCCATCCCATTTTATAGGAATAAAATCAAGGCATCCAGACAGTACAAGCCCAGCAAAGCTGGGAAGGTGGTCCAATGCTTGAACCTGCCATTCATTTAGTACTGGGGGCCCCTGCGAAGGAGGTGATCCCAGGAGCACAGCCCCAACTCACCAGCCCGCACTCGTTCAGGGCCAGAGCCTCGTCCTCTACCAGCTTCTGCCCGCCTGAGGCGCGCAACTCAAATGGCAGCCAGTCGTTCTGCAGTGCCTCACGCACAAACCGGAAGAGTGCTGGCAGCCGCTCCCGGGCATAGAAGGTCCCTGTGGGGCACACACAGCATGAACTAGGTGGTACAACAAGCCTGCTGCCCATCCCAAGGCTGGGCTGGCCACTTACCCTGCAGCAGGCAGCCGTCTGGCAGGCGCACACGCAGAAGGGCATAGGTGTACTTTCGCAGCTCCCGCTGTTCCTCCTTCTCCCGCATGGCCTTGGTCCTAAGCGAGCTCAGCCGCTCTACCGCCTCCGTTCTGTGGGCACGAGTGTGATCAGGCCTCTCCAGCTCCCCCCACCCTCCGAAACTGCTCCCAGTTCGCTTCATGTTGGGCCTACCTGAGCCTCTGTTCACGCTTTACCTCCTCGGCTGTGAGGCTGAAGAAGTCAGCAGGGAGCTCGAAATGTGAGGCCAGGGCCGAGGGACGGAAGACCCGGCACTGCCGGTCTAGTGTGGCCCGCACTGGCTCCGCGCCCAGCAACCGCTGCTTGTGCTGCTCCAGCCTCTGTGGGTGCGCCCGTGCGTCCTCACCCAGCACATAGAACTCCTCGGGGCCTTCTGCAGAGGCATTTCAGCTGTCCCCATGTCCCACTTGGCACCCGCCCCCTCCCGCCCGCCTGGCCGCCACCTCACCCTGATCTGGCACAGGCAGTGTCACCTTCTTGAAGCCAATGGCTTCGAAGAACTCATGGCTCCCCTCTAGGCAGTTGATGCGCTCCTAGGGATGAGGTATGTAGGTCACCTAGGCTGCAGGGCTAAGGCCCATCCCACCACTGCTGGAACTGATGCAAGCATCCCCTACTGGCACCCTTGATAACTCAAAATATTCCAATTTAAAGGAGCCACTCTTAAGTAGCTGGTCCCCAAACCCAGTGACTTAATCACAGGCCCAGCATTACTGTGGTCTTGAAACTCAAGTTCCTATAGTCAAAAAAATTCAAAGACCAGGTGCCTGCCACTAAGTGTGATGCCTATGTTCCAGGATCCATGTGGTGGAAGAGTGCCAATTCCCACAGGTTCTCTTTCCTCCACATACATGCTATGGCTCATGCACTCACATATAGGTTAAATACATGCATGAAAAGAAAAATGGGTGCATGCCTACATCCTAGCTCTTTAGAAGCCAAGGCAGGAACATTTCCACCAGTACTGGGTCAGGCTGCACTACACAGTGAGAACTGGTCTCAACAACAGCCAGAGTAGAAAAATCAGACAAAAACCCAAACAATAAAATGGCATGCTGCCCATCCCATGCCTAGTGAAAGCCACTGCAGCTCACCTGGAACACCTTGTTCTGCAGTTTGATTTTCTGGTACTTTTCTTCCTCTGGATGCAAATGGATATTGTCCAGGTACCTATGGGGAGGCAAAGCCACGAAGGTGACCACCTGACCTTATTGTTCTTCCACCCGTAAACCTTAGACAGGGTGAACCTGGAGCTCAGCACAGGAGCTCAGCACTGCTCAGGCCCCTTGGGTAAACTGAGGCTCACTCACTTGGCGATGGTGTCCACACCCAGCTTCACGCGGTCCCGGTCTCTGTTGAACGTATGTATCTTCATGATAGAGGCAGCCACAGGGTCCATGGAAAAGTGCTGGGGGAGGGGTGGGCATGCTGAGGACCCCACAAGACTTCTGGGGAAAGGGCAGAGTGGCAGCAGCTGCAGCCACTGGTGTAAACTGAGGCAAAGCCAGCCATAAGTGCTTGATTGAGGACAAGGAGCATGCCTTCAGTGGAGGTCACTCATGCCTTTTCCAGGATAGGAAAAGGCTAAGCAGGAAGAGATTAGACTTGTGGGGTCCCAGCTGGGCCCTAAGTGCTAGCTTTAGACGCACGGCACCTGGATGAAGCCACAAGCTGATGGATGTGAGGCCTCTAGCAGCTGGAGAAGGCAAAGCTGGAGCCTCCATGAGAGACCAGCTTTCCCTGAATTTAGCTCAGCAAGTCTTGTGTTGGACTCCTGGCACCAGAGCTCAGGAAACAGATGCATATCTAAAGCCACCAGGTTCTGACAAAGCTATGTTTGCAGGTATGTACGTGTCCTCTTATTCTCAGTTTTCCTTTTGTGAAGCACAGGCTGGCCCAAAATTCAGAATCATCCTGCCTTAGCAGCAAAGCAGGGGTGTGCCACCATATCTGAGTTCATCAGAGCAATTACCAGGTAGAGTGTTTTGAGTTAAGAATGGCTACCACAGGCTCACATATTGGAATGCTTAGTCACTGGGAAGTGGTACTCTATGAAAGGATTAGGAGGTGTGGCCTTGCTGGAAGTGTGTCACTGTAGGTGGGCTTTGAGATTTAAAAAGCCCATGCTGGGCTGGAGAGAAGGCTCAGAGGTTAAAAGCACTGGGTCTTCCAAAGGACCTGAGTTCAATTCCCAGCAACCAAGCATGTGGGCACAATACTGTATAAATAATAAATAAATCTTTTTAAAAAACCCAAACACTAAAACAACAAAAAAACATGGCAGGCCATGTCTCTGTCTCTGCTGTGTCTGCCTACACATCAGGATGTGTAGCACTCAGCTACTTTTTCAGCTCCAGCACCATGCCTGCCTGCCTGCGGCCATAGCAGACTAAACCTCTGAAACTTGAAGGAAGCCCCAGTTACTTTCTTTTGCAAGAGCTGCCTTTACCATGACATCTCTTCAGAGTCACAGAACAGTGACTAAGACACTAGGCTTGACGCACATCTGGATACCATGCATCCAGCAACTCAGGCCTGATGCTGGAACACGAGCCACTCACCGACAGGATGGCCTCCTTGATGTGAGCATCCCGCTGGTCCCTCCTCAGGGTGACACCTGTGAGCGGACAGATGAAGTACACACCAGGCACTGCCAAGTGGGAAGACAGTTCCTCTTTGGACTCAGGTACCTGGAGATAAACAGGAGGCTCTTAGAGCTAGACATACAGGCTCATGGCTGTCACCCTCCTTCCAAGGATCTGTCTCACCACTGCCAAGGTACTGCTCACCCCGGGCTCTGCACGAGGCTCTCCCTCCCCAGGCTGCCGCTGCCTCCACACTATCCCAGAGCGTTGGGCAGTCCCCAGCAGTTGCCTTACCAAGTTGGTCCGAGCAGCTGGGCTGTTGCTGGAGGTGGCTTCAGCCTGAAGTTCCTTTCTCACTGGGAGTGGGAGGGTGTAATGGGGACAGAGTGAGGACCGCAGCAAGTCCCCATCCAAGAACGACTAGTGTCACTTGTCACATGGGACCCACCGCTGCCCTCTGTTGGACCCTTTCTCATTTGATTCAGGCCCCCACTCCCAGGTGCTCCAGAGAGCAGAACTCACCCTGGTTCCGGATGGAGTCCTGAGATGTGGGGCCCCGGGCTCGAGGCTGCTTCTGTTCCAGCCGGGCCAGGGCAGCAGCAGCAGCCATCTGGGCCTCATCAGTGGGACCCTGGCGGGGCTGGCGGATGACCGGCTGTGGTGACTTTTCTTTGGAGGTCTTCTCCCTGGACAGACATGGGGAACAGCCTACTAGTTAGTGCTCACATCTTGCAAAGAGTGCAGAGATCGCAGGCACTGGGCCTCCCCTCCTCAGGTCGGCCTGAGGACCCTGTGAACCTCCATATGCCCTGCATCATGGAAGCTGCCCCACTACTTGTAGCTGTACCCTAGTTTGCCCACCTTTCTAGCCCCGGCCTGCAGGCCGCCATTCCTCCCAACCAGCCCCTGGCTGTCATGGGGCTGACCTTCCCTACCTCCTGCAGACTTCTTTCTGGTAGCCTTCAGCTGTTTCCAATCTCCACCTCATCCTTTCTGGGCAGCTCTAGCATCCCACTTGCCATGCACACATGCCTTACCTTCCTCTCCAGCACACAGTTCTCCAGGGCCTCTAATCCTCCTGTGAATACCCTCCCTGCCAAGGCCCCCAGAGAGATCCCACCTCCTCCTCCCAGAGCCTGCCAGGGGTTCTCTGCTTTCCATACTCCTCTGAGACTCTTCCATAACTTTCTCTCATTCCGGAACCCTGCCCAGAGTACACACCCCAGATCTCAAGTCCTTTCACACTTCACCACCTGCAAAGGAGTCAATCTCTAAGACCCTCTCCTGTCCCCAATATCTCCTGGTCAGGCTCTGACTTTAGGCGGTTCTTCCACCTCTTCCTTTAGCTTCGACCCCGGAATCTCCCGCCCCTTCTCATCAGACAGGACCAGGAATCTCTAGGCCCTGACCACCGCTCCTTGGCCACCACTGCCCACCGGACCCGCTTAACCCTCAACACCCCGCCCACCATGCTACATGCCCTGCCCTCCTCTTCGGCCACGCCCACGACACCACGCCCCTCTCAGGCTCCGCCCTCCTCCCCCACACTTTGGCCCCGCCCATCGTCACACTTCACCCTCCCATCTGCTCCAGGCTTGGCAAAGACTGGAGGGATAACTGGGATCCCGCCGCCGGCCCTCCTCGCCGCCCAGGCGGCTTCACCCACCCTGCGGAGTCCGTAAGCTTCTGGCCGGGTCCCGCGCTCTTGAACTTGATGTCAGCCTTGATCTCCTGGAAGAACTTCTTCATGGCGGCGGCGGCGGCGGCGGCGGCGGCCCTGCGGCGTGGGCCGCGGGGCGGAGGGCGCAGGGCCCGGGTGGTGAGAAGCAGGGAACCAACCACCGGAAAAAAAATATTGCAGCGCCGGAAGTCCCGCCCTGCTCACGTGACAATCGCCTCGCGCACACCTAGTGGGCGGGCGCCGTCTTCCTGCCTGCCGACGCCGTTACCGGGGCGATGGCCCCGCCACCTCAGGACCGCGGTGGGCCGCTAGGAGGCGACCGAGAGGGCTGACTCCAGCCTTCCAAGCAGCTAGGAAGTGTTCCCAGAGCTGCTGAAACCAGTTTTCAAGGCCAGCGTGGGCTAAGAGAAAAACTAGCATGGGTGTGCGGGGCAGGAGCTGAAATGCCCTTTGGGAGGGACAAGACAGAAAGGAGCCCCGACAGAGGAATTGGTGCTAGTGCAGGGCTTGCCCAGCATGTATGAAGCCTGAGTTTAATTTCCTACAACACTCCTTCTGGTGTGGTGTGCATACTCAACAAAAAAGATGCACGCTCTTAGCTCAGGCATTGTAGAACACTATTGTTCACATAAGAAACAGCCATCATCATCAGGGCCACCTTGACTGTGTGTGAGAGGCCCTGAAAATCACATACTTCACTGTTGATGGTCACTGATTAGAAGAAGGGGTGGAGTGGGCCACTGGATGCTCACTTGAGGTTCCCAGAGCTCGGTCCTGCACCTACTGTCTGTATACATGCAATTCTGCCCTAATTTCACTTGGCACTGTGGTCTCAGGGGCGGCTAGAGTTTGCAGGCAGTGGGCCATGTAACTCAAGTGGCTATGGGCGAGCTTTCATCTGTGCTGGTGTGAAACAGTCCAAGGAGGCAGCAACTTCGGGGGCTATCCAGACTGGTAGTAATATCCTTGTTTCTGCCAACCATTGGACGCCAAGATGCACATACCTGCAGGATGGACACCTTTCAAAGAAACTAGGAGCCTCGTGGCTGGAGAAAGGCCTGGAAGGCATTTGATGAGAACAGCGGAAGGCTCTGGTTTCCAAAAGCTGCAGTGAGAGGAATGGAGCACCTGAGGAAGGCAGCCAGGAAGTGCTCAGTAAGTGTTCTAGGATTTGATGCTTTAGTCCTTGGGGAAAAATTTTGTTTTGAACCAGGCACTGATAGTTCAAGCCTTTAATCCCAGCACTCAGGAGACAAAGGCAGGCAGAGCCTATCTACAGATCAAGTTCTAGGACAGCCAGGGCTACAAAAAGAAACCCTGTCTGGGGGGGGGGAAAAAAAAAAAAGGTTTGCACGGCTGAAGAGATGGCTCAGAGGTTAAGAGAACTGGCTAATCTTCCGAAGGTCCTGAGTTCAATTCCCAGCACCCACATGGCAGCTCATGACCATCTATAACGACTTCTGGTGCCTTCTTCTGGAATGCAGGCACATGTGCAGGCAGAACACTGTATAGATCATAAATGAATAATTTTTTTTAAAGTTTGTGAATTTTTTTTTTTAGGTTTTCACTATGTAGACCAAGATGACCTTGAACTCACAGAGATCTGTCTGTGCCTACTTTCCTGACTGCTGAGATCACAGGTATGCACCACCAACTCCCCCAATATATATGTTTGAGAGAGGACTTCATGTAGCCCAGGCTGGCCTTGAACTTCTGATCCTCCTGCCTTCACCTCTGAAGTGCTGAAATGACAATTATGTGTCACTTTGACAGAACAGGTGTGTGTGTGTGTGTGTGTGTGTGTGTGTGTGTGTGTGTGTAAATGAATGTGGTGTGGGTGGGTATCATGTCCATTCCCTGTGGGGAGACCAGAGGAGGAGATTGGTGGCCTCTCATCCTCTGCTTTAGTCCTGAGACATAGGGTCTCTCCCTGAACCTAGAGCTAAGCTGGCACCAAACCTCAGCCATCCTCTCTCATCTCTGTCTTCAACAAGGCCAATCCTCCTGCTTCCCCTCCCGAATACTGGGATATGAGCCAGTTCTCTGTCCATGCTTCAGGTCCTGAGAGGTCCCTATGGCACAGACAGCCCACCTTTATTAGTTTCTTTTCCATTGAGATCACACATAAATTCTAAATACAAAAACAGAAATACAAACAGTTCTTTATGGTGTGAATCAGAATTCTAGTGTGGAAGCTCCAGGAACCCCAATGACCAGACACAGTTCAGGATAGGGAAATCACCACATGTTGCATCGTGGACCCTGTTTTACAGCTAGGGAAACTGAGGCATTGGGTATTTAATGTATTTTCTATTCAGTATGGTATTGCCTAGTTTGTGGCACCACATACTGTAGGTGCTCAATTAATACTCTGTAAGTAAAAGAAATAAACAGTGTGGGGATGGAGCTCAGTGGCTGGAGTGTCCACCTAACTAAATAACATGCACGAAACCCTGGGTTCCATCCCTAGGACCAAATAAGCACTTGGAGAGTCAGGAGACCAGAAGTTCAAGGTCAGCTATGGGTACATGGCTATTCAGAAGGTAGCCTGAGCTAAGTAAGAACCTGCCATTAAAAAAAAAAAAAAAATCCCAGAACTTGGGAGGCAGAGACAGGCAGATCTCCATAAGATCAAGGCCAGCCTTGACTAACAGAGTGAGTGCCAGGACAGCCAAGGTTACACAAAGAAACCCTGTATTGAAAACGAAAAATAAACAATGATTAAAACTAAGATTCAGTGTAAAAATAAATAAAATAAAAATAGCTGGTGAAGCGGCTCATTGAATGAATACTTTTCCCAAAAGCCTCAAGTGAAGGAAGAGGGCTGGCTGGCTCCCCAAAGCTGTCCTCTGACTTCTACATATATGCCGGAGCATTTGCAGGCATGCCCACATATATCATACACAGATTTTTTTTTTTTTAAGTTTAAAATATAAAAATAAGGCTGGGCGAGGTGGTGTACAGTTTTGATCCCAGGATTCGGGAGGCAGAGACAGGAAGATGTCTGTGAGTTTGTTAGGCCCAGCATGAGCCTAAATATAAGAAGGTATGAAGAGAACCCAGGAAACTAATCATCACTGCAAAATCGCAAGAGGTTTGTTTATTTTGATCATTGTGCAATGGGGTCACCCCTGCTGGTCAGCAAGGAGTGGCACTGAGAGACAAAGGCTTTGGGTTTTTAAAAGACAAAGTGCGGGAATCTCCTGGAGTTGCGTGTGATCTTGGCGATTTAGGATTGGATGAGGTATTTAACTTTTAAAATAATTGGTTAGTTCTGGGCACCCTTAGGTCCTGTCAGCCCTGTGGTAAATATGTGATCTTCAAGTCAGTTTGGAATTTCCTGCCATATGAGATATAGCCACAATTAAAGATGGGAGAGTGATTAACTCATCCCGTGTCTGTTCTGAGTGAGGAGTGGGGTTTTCAGGCTTTGGATCAAAGGTCAGGAGAAGGATTGGGGCCATTTGGCCCAGTTTCCAAACAAAGCTCATCTCACAGGCGCCAGCTAGTGATTTTCTCTCCATTTAGTAGAGCTCTCTGCTTGTTCTCTTTCTTATCTCTGCCCTCACAGATGGCTGATGTCAGGAACTTTTACATTCCTCAGCTCTCTGGAGAAGCACTAAGAGGCTTTAATTGACATGGGCCTAAAACTTGAAAATATAAGTTATAAGGCAGTTAAAGAAACATAGGTTACAAAATTAGTCTGATTCTTTCAAGTTCAAGGCCAGCCTGGTCTTCATAGACAGTTACAGGCCAGTCAGGGCTACAGAATGAGACCGTGTCTCCAAATAATAAAGTAAAGTAAGAGTAAGAGTTAAAACATAAAATGTAAACGGATAAAGGTGTTATAAGTATAAAATGGAACTATGTTGCTTATTATAAACGATAAAAATGAAAACTAATGAAAGTAGCTAACACTGCCATCTCTCGAGCCCCGCCCCTTCCCCATCAATTCCTGGCGGGAGTTTGCAGGGTCCTGTTGAACCTGTCCTCAGGTTAGCCATTGGTCGAGCTGTAACCAATGGGCTTCATAGTTACATTAATGCCCTTCTGGAAGGCTGTCATTAACCCGTCTTCTTTGCTGAGTGGGTATGTTTCGTCTGGTGACTTCCAATGGCCGGCTCGGTAAGGTTATGTATGTCCCGCCTTCCCTAGGCTCCGCCCCTCACTGCTTGTTACTGGTTTCCGTCTTCCTTTCACCTCCACCCTGCGCAGTGACCCACAGGTCGCAGCCACATTCCGCTCTTAAGCCACGCCCCTGTCCCTATCTAAGCCCCTCCCCGTCCCTGAGAGTAATTCATTTCCTTCGCCCCGCTCCCCATCCTGACTGCGAGCCACGCCCCTGAACGCTCCCCAAACCAAGCTCCGCCCCATCATTGCTCTTTAGGCTCCTCCCTGTAGCCCCTGGAGCGTTTCGTCCTCACGTCGGACAGCGTCCACCCCACCCCCTGGGCCCTAGTCCACGCCCTTGGCTTCTGCTCCGTTATCCAATCCCGTTAACTAGCTCTGAGCCAACCCCTCCCTTTATTGGTCCCCGCGCTTCTCTGTGGGCAAGAGCGACAGCGACGGCGGCCCATAGCGAAGGGAGGGTGGGACTTCCGGCCGCCCCGAACCCAATAAGTAGGCGCCGGCCGGCGGCCCGTGCGGACGCCTCCGCCCCTCAGGCGTCCGACTCCCGCCTCCGGCTTCGCCTCCCACCGCCGCCGTTGCTGCTTCCCGCGGCCTGGGCCTCCGCCGACAGCATGCCGCACGCCTTCAAGCCGGGGGACTTGGTGTTCGCCAAGATGAAGGGCTACCCACACTGGCCGGCCCGGGTGAGGCCGCGCGGGGACGGGCCCAGCGGAGTTGGCCGCCCGGAGCGGAGGGGCCGCGGGCGCGCGCGGGGAGGCTGGAATGGAGGTCGAGGGGAGGCTGGGGAGAGGTTGGGGCTGCGGGCTCAGGCGGGGCATTGTGGTTCTCTGGGAACTGAGGAGTCTCCTTCCTCAGGGACCACAGTGCCTGGGGTCTGGAGGGTCTTGGGGGAGGTCAGTGGTCTGAGGGACTTGTGTTCTGGGGTTCCGGAGCCCGGCCCTGAGACCCACGGTCCCTCGGCTGTGGTATCGCACTGTGACCTGCATGGTGAGGTCCTGAGCCTCTGAGACCCACAGTCCTGCAGGGCAATGGCTGTGATGCTATCCTTGACCT